ATAGCTTCATGCTTCACACGCTGTAGATATCGTGGAATCATAGAATAGTTGGGGTTGGAACTTACATAACTTACACAGAACCATAGAATAGCTGGGGAAAGGACCTTGCAGTCTAAACTCAACAGTTCTCTTTGTATTTCTTTTGTAGGCAAGGACTGGGTTGCTCATGAATGTTATGGGAGTTCTGCTTCTTAGCTTGGCTATGAACACATGGGCCAAGAGCATCTTCCAGCTGGGGACGTTCCCTGCATGGGCCAACATCCATGCAGAAAATGCCACCACACCCCTGACAGCTGTAGAAAATGTCACTTTAAGTGCACTAAATAAAATATGAACAAAGCCATCCCCGGGGAAGGACTCACTCACTTAGGACACGGGCACTGGAATCATCAGAGTATGCGCAGGAGGAAAGCCGCGTGGCTGCTGACACTGTGTGGGACCCTCTGTTTTAATTTTATGTTTAGAAATACTGGTCAGTGTCACAGCATCCATTTGTTATTTTCTCTGAAGATCTTTCCCCACCTTCCACAGGTACCAATCAGACTCTTCCAGAGTCCGTCTCTCATAGGTGGTTGTTAACTGGACAACCCTATAAGTGTCGAGCATCTTTGGGTAGATGCTTCTTCCCCCATGAAAGCTAGCAAGCTTTGCCACTCTAGCTTCTGATATCCTACCTCGTTTTGGAGAGTAGCCCTGGGAACAGGGTGGAAGCAACTGGATTATTTATGTGCAACCCAATGTGAGTGATTGTATCAGAATCTGGCCGGGGGAAGGTGGCACCGCTGGGTGCTTCTAGCACTGTGTAAAGGATGGGGTCTCATTACCATCTCATGAGTAATTCTGTCATGGAGGATGAAGACTATTTGTGTGCGAAGGGATGATTCAGGAGATGTGTTGGTAGGACTTGGTGCATTACCGCATACTTTGGAAACAGGAAGGAAATAGTTTGTTTCCAAACGTGTTCAATGTTTTGAAAACCTGGGACAGTAAATTGCTGCCTGGTTCTTTGCACTGAGTGTGCAAATGGGGGCTTGGTACCAAATTAACTTCTGATGTAACTCTGGACATCGGTGGTGTTTCACCGTCGGTCAATGTGGCCAGTCTTAGGTTTGCGAGACTGACTCACTCATGAGCAACCCACTGAGTCACAAGTCAGTGGACAAGTTGTATTGGAGTATTATTGACATTCTGAAAACCACGTTTTGATTCTTAGCTTCTTTTTAAATCGGATTGCTCGGGTACTTTCAATGAAAGCATTGCGAATCGACTGTGATTTTAATCACCATTTTATCTGATTTATTTTTTATTTTCTGTAAGAATCTAAAATACATACTTTAAAATCAGTTTCAAAAACAATCAGTTACTGAAATGGATTGAATGGTAAAGGATCCAGTTCTTGGTTTAGGGAAGGTGAGTGACTAGATCCCTGTCCTGGGACCGATTTCTCTGATGATGTGCACTGGTGGAGCTGGCAAGGTGAACAGGCTGGGTGTAGGGATCCAGTGCAGCCCTCTGCTCCTGTGCTGCTGATAAACCCCAGAGCCAGGTGGGAGAGCTGAGAGGGTGATCCTGCCATGGGGGGTTACCCCAGGGTCGCAAGGGAGCCAGGACTCAGGGGGTTGAACCAACTGAATGTGGAACTTGAATCGGTCACCTTCAAAAAAATCCTTAACGTTCAACAGATACCTTAAGTTCAACAGAATCCTTACTGATTGTGGAAAACTTACAATAAAGCACGTTTGTTAGCATGTCACATCGTCCTGTTTGCTCTGTAGGTTGAGGGAAGAGATGCAAAGTCCAAGCTTCCTCCTCCCTTAGCTTCACCCCCTGACTGGGGCAGTGGTTCCCAGGAGGAGCAGGAGGGCAATGAGGTCTCCTGCTTCACCTGATCAAAACGAAGCCCTGTTAAGCAGTGGAGCAATGGGAAAGCTTCTCACTCTACATCTCAGGGCTGCTCTGCTGAAGAGGTGCAGCCCTGGCAGCAGTCCTTGCTGTGGATGCTCTGTCTCGCTGTCCCACTTCCCTGAGGCAGCTCCATGCTGGCTGCGTGCTGGGTTCGGGCACTGTTGATCTGCATCGATGCTCCTTGTCATGCTTTGGTGAAGATGGGCTGAATGGGGAAGGGAAATTGTTCACCACGGTTCACTTTCCCAGCTGTCCTGGGGCCAGGGAACAGGCTGTGCTTCACGGCTGGGAGCCACAGGAAGGAGCCCTGCTGTCCCCATGTCCTGCTGCGGCTGGAGCTGCTGCTGCAGAGGCTGGAGTCTGTCACTGGAACAGAGCTGCTGCTGTCCCAGCAGCCTGGAGGACAGGCAGTGAGGGACTTGGGCTGTCTAATTTCGAGGCTCAAAGGGTTAACATCCAGTTCAGCTCTGTTGCAGATGTCAGGGTCACAGGTTTGCTTACAGGTATCAGCTCTGCCTTGGAGCATCCTAGGTGAATCCAGGGCAGTTTTACTTGGGTAAGAAAGCAGAACTGAGACCACAGAGTTTGTGTAGAAGCCTCCAGAAATCACTGCTAGCATCCTGGCATGTCTGTGGCACTCTGTCTAGAGATCAGAAGGTGTTTCACAAGTGCAGCCAGGGAAGATGTTTTATCTCTGTGCTGACATCAGAAACAGAGGGGGGACCAGTGACTTTCCCAATGTCACACAAAGGGGCCTTGGCAGACCTGGGAAAGGTGTGAAAGCACCTGGATCCTAAACCTCTACCTCGGTCAAAGACCTGGCTTCTGCCAGCTCTATCAGCAGCCTCTGCGTTTCCAAGGGTTCACCAGGGGAGCTGGTTTAAGGTGTGCGGACAACAGCATTACCCAGTTCTGCTTTTCCACATCCAGGCATCTGTAAGAGCAGGACTGGGCTGGCCTGCTTGATTTGTGAGCTTTTATTTTAAACAAAGATTTAAAGATTTAGCATTTCTGGGGTTCAGGGATCACCTTCCCTGTGGGAATAACTTCTGATTCCATTTGCTTCTGCTAGGACTGAAATTTGCCCAAAGCTGCTTTAATGGTAAGTCAACCCCATTATTTTTGACGGGTCTGTGATTGTGAGTAGAGATATGAAAATTCCCAGGAAAGGGCATTTCAAGTTCTGTACTAACCTGCTATAACTTCAGCTGCGCTATTTTTGAAGGAAATTTGCCTGCCTATGCACTGTTTCTGTAGGAGTGTAAAAATCCAGCAACCAGAACAAAAGCCATTCACATTAGCAGCCTGCTTGTGAATTTTAATTAACAGGAAATGCCACTCACACATTGAAATTCAACATCCAGAATATCTCTGCTTTGCTCCTTTGATGTTCCCCATCCAACCCTAGATCAACATCCACATGTTCTCCTGAGACTTGGAGGAAATTTATTCTGGTTTATTTACAGTAGGAAAGCATTTTGTAGCATCTTTTATCCTAGAAGCATTCGGGCTGCTTTACAAGCTGTCCACACAGAAGAGCTGCTATGTGGGTCTTTGCAGCAGTGAGTGTTTCTGGGGCTGTGCTCAGCCAATTTGCTCTCAGCAGCGATGCTGGGAGTTCGGGAGAGAAAGGGAAAGATTCCTGAAACAAAGGAAAGCCTGGCATGATGGAGGAAATTCAGCTGTTGCAGCTTAGATAGCCTTGGTTCCCTTATCGCATGTATCCCTCATCCGTCACTGAAAAGATATTGCTGTGATTCTTCTATATTTCTATAGTAGAAACATAATAAGACATGACCTGGCTCTGTATCATGTAAGTTGTTTGTTTGCATGTGATCTTAGCAAGGAAAGAATCACCACTGATGGGCTAATCCTTCCTACATCCTCAACTTCTTGGGTTGGCAGAATAATGTGATCAACAGGTGCTGATGATACTGCCATGAAGAGATGTTCTCAGCCTTAAATCATCCTACTTCTAGCCCTTCTTTCATCATCTTTATTTTCTTAACCTTTATAGTTCATGTACCCCATGCTCTACCTGTGATTCAGCTGCTCCTTTATGTTGCACCCCCTCCCATCACTGTCACCCTCGTGGGGTTACACTGTCACTACAGGTTGAACTTGATGGTGTCTTGGCAAGAGGCTCTTGTTCTTGCTGTCTTGAGACCCATGCTGAGCCCTGCAGTCTGCAAAGCAGAAATGGATGTGAAATCTCTGCCCTGGTGGGTGCAAGCTCAGTCACCATCCCTAATCAGAGCGAAGCCAGGCTGTGCTTCCTGGCTAAGACACAAATTAAACCCTCTGTTGTCTTCTTATGGTTACAGCAATCTAGTTGCAGACATGTGGTTCTCTTCCTTGTCTCCTACTGTGGTGTTCAAAAGTCTAAATCAGGGATGTTAGAAATTGTTAGAGCTTGAGCTCTGTAGAAACTGGAGCTTGTCAAAAAATCGAAGTCCCTTTATACCACCGAGGAGCTGAGCCACAAGATCCCCAGTGACACAGTGTGGGAAAAGGCACCTCAGAGCATCCCAGGGGATACAGTGTCCGCATCCCCAACACCGCCTCGACAGCCTCCCGCTTCTCCTTCACTTCCTCAGTTTCTGAGCTGAAGTGAGCGCAGGCCTTGAGGTACTTTAGCAGAATGTGACCGCAAGATGTCACAATTGCTTTGCTGAGATGCGCGGTCCTGCCCCCCCTTCACCCACCGGTCTTGTATCTCTAATCACACACTGCTGATGCTTTTTATGGCAAAGCAAACTTGTTCGTTGTGTCCTGGGGAAACTTGGGCATTGATGGTTCTAGCTCAATTGCAGGTTATCAGTTTGGGATATAACCCACTCCCCCCCCCAGCCTGCAGAGATCAATTTTGAGTTGAGCAAGAGGAAAAACCTAGGTTTGACTTTGCATACAAACACTTCTGGGTGCTGGTCACTACTGGTGAAACAATTTCCCAACAGACTTCAGCTCCCATTAGCAGCACATGCAGCAAACACTGATCACAATGTTGTGGGCTTCTTTATAGTCTATGCCTAACTTTTCCTTTTTCTCATTTTTCTGCCCCAGAGAACTACCTGCTTAGCCTGGATGGGGTCCCAGGGGCTGATGTTACTATCAGTTAGCTCTGAAGTACCATGAGAAAGAAGTTTAATGTTAGAAGGAGAATCTGATGAGCTTTGCAGGATGCAGCTGTGAGCATTTTGGGGTGATCCTTTACAGTCTGCACATTGAATTAAGACCTAATTCATGGACTGTGCAAGCAATTGCTATGGATGCTCCAAACAAATAGCACTTTCTTTTGTGCCCGCCTGGCTGGTGCCTCTTCCCAGCTGGAGCCGGTCAGGGTTTCTCATTGGGCACAAGGAGAAAAGCTTTGCTCTACGAACCACACAGTAAAAAGGAGATTAACTACAAAGCAGAGCTGTTGAGTGGAGCAGCAAGGACCTTGTCTGGTACCTGCAGGAGGGGCTGAGGAGGTGGGGGGGGGGTTGTTCTGACTGCTTGGGCTCATCACTGCTCATCCAACAACTGCTGCAGAAGTAGGTCTGGCCATGTCCCCTGGGGAAGGTGCTGCTCCCCCACTGCTCGCTGGACAGCACAGCCCCACGTGCTCTGTCCCCAGGGGCAGCCAGGACAGGGCTGACCTCCAGCCCTTTGCCTTTTCCTGCCCAGGGGAGCATGAGAACATCCCAGGGGCCTGTTGGTTCCCAGCCTGCAGGAGGGCTTGGCTTGGAGCAGCGGGTCCCATAAGGAATGGGCTCAGCAGCAGATGGGTGAGCTCAGTCACATTTACCAGCAAGTGGTGGCTTAGTGTGAGAACATTTGACAAAGGGGCAGCTGTGGTGGGAGCCAGGGAAGGCTCCTGTAACCCCTGAGCTCCCTGTGAGGGGAAGGCAGTGGTTGTACACGTTTCTTGTTTGCCAGCTGATAAGAGAACACAGATTCCTTTCCTCTGGAAACATAACTGAGGAGCAGGCACCACAGGCTGGTCCTCACTTCCTGGCAAGCAGGTTTGGTGGCTGGAGCTCCTTGCCCTGCACATCCCAGGGGTCAGGTGAGTTGGTCCCATAGGGAGTGCACATCCTGGCCTGGGAACTTCTCGGCAGCCTGAGAATTCTGCCTGTGGCAGGGTTTCCTCTGCAGTGGATTTGCTGGCTGCAGGGAATTGGGAAAGGTTCAAGTTTGAAGCTTCATCTTCCTCTACTAGGACTAAGATGAGCCTTTAAGCAGCTTATGAACCTGGCATATGAGCTCATGGATTCAGCAGGGAGCAGCAGCCTGCCAGAACAGATGAACATTATCAGCACATGGTTTGCTGGATCCCACCATGCCCTTTGTGCTATGGCTGATGTCTGAAAGAGGAAAAGCTCCCCTTCTCCCTGAGAAAAGTCCTAACCTTGCTGCTTGATGGTGGGCAGTGCAAGGAGAAGTCATCTGGGATGACACAGCTGATTTCCCCACAGTCCATGTGATGCTTGTTCCATCGTCACCAGTCCGTATGTCACTGACTCATTTTTCTCAGCTATGTGTCATGAAAACAAACATTCTCTGCAACAGCAGTAGGACCAGAAGCGGTGTAAAGCCCAAGCAGTGTTGGGCATCTCAGCAGTCGTGTAATTCCCTGGGCTTCACACACCAGGTTTGCCCGCTCAGGTCAGGAATTGCCAACATTGCTGATCTGAACTGCCTTAAGGCATTATTTGGCTTTTTGGACCCCTGTCTCTGGTGGTAGTTGCTTTGATTTCCCATCCTGTGTGTGCCAGGAGCTGCATCCACAATCTTCTCTCGGAACGATGGAGAGTTTTCAAGCAAGAGTGGGGCACCTCTCTGCCACTGGGTATGTAGTGACTGCTTTAATCCCTCTTCTTCCCTCTGCCTTGACAGCTGTTGAATGGCCTTTTCCCCTGAAAAGCCTCCTTTCGTAGTCAAAATCACCCCCCATAGGATAGTCCCCAGGGTTTGCCTGGCTGGGTTTAATCCTGGGGAGAGGCTCCTTCTCCCCACCAAGTTTTCTGGTCTCTGGAGAATCAGTCCAGATGGGAGACCTGAGAAATCATATTTCTTCCCACATGCTTGTTTTCGTTAGACATTTAAATAGCTTTGTGGGACATTTCATCCCATCTGCAGTGGCCAAATTCACATCCTTGGAGATTTCCTCTGGCACTGGAGCTTCAGTGTGAAACTGTTTTCTCTGATCAGTTCTGCATTCATTACATTTAAATCTGCAGATTTTGGGCTGGTCTCCATTTAAGAGGCATGGAGATCAGGAACTGCCATTCAACTGCTTCTTATCCGTTGAACACCTTGTAATTATAGAGCTGGTTGAACAATTTCCACAGCAGCCAGAAGCCTCCCATTTCTCCCTCCTGCATCCTCTAAATAACAACTAAAGCCATTCTGAGCCACTGGCACTGAGCTGACCTCTCTGAATTACTTTATTATGATTTTCACAGAATAATTCAATGCTTTCCTGTGCTTGCATTAGAGGAGGAGCAGTCACATTGTACTTGGTATTGAATCTTTCAAGAAATACCTTGAACTCCCCTGTCCTGCATGCTTTCAGGGAAGATCTCTGTCCCAGCTACTCAGGTTAGCAAAGGAGTGAGACCAGAGGTACCTGGAAAAGGACATTATGAAGATCCATGTGTGATCATCTCAAGAAAGCCCCCAGTTAATGTGTTTCCATACTTCCCTCTGTTTGTTTTACAGCATGAGAGCCCGTGTCTACTGTGAAGACTTTCTGTTCCCAAAGGTGTGCAGGACTGTCTCAGACCTATGGTCAGTTTACACCAAGCCTGTCCCAGCAAACAGCAGAGAGGTGTGGACTTTGTTCCTGCAGTGTTTCTGTGTCACAGCAGTGATAGGAGGCCTCTTTTACAACTGGATGTTTGCTTCCCTGGAGTACTCCTGGCATCTCTCCATTAAAATGGCCATCTTCTTCAGTCTGCTCCTTCTCCTGGCCCTTTTCTTGGTGCATCCTGCACGTTGTGTCTTCAGTATCATTATGCCTACATTAGGTACCAAACAAGGCCGGAAGCTCCTTTTATCAACCTGCGTCATGATAGTAGTGGTTAACATAACACCCAACATCATAAGCAACATTAAAACCATACTGCAAGTTATTAAATGCATCTGTAAGAATTCCTCTGAGAGCCTTTTGAACTCAACTGCTCTGCTAGAGACAGCAACCTGGGAGTTTGGGGATGCAATCCAAGAAACTGTTCATTCCATTCGTATTTATAAGCCTATGAATGGACATTTTCAGTTTTCATTGCTGAAGAACAGCTCCTCGAGTTACCAACAAATGCATCTTGCTGGTGAGAAAATTGGGAGGGACTTTTTGGCTGTTGAGGTACTGGTCAAATATGCTGTACAAGTGGGCAACAAGGTGGTTGCTGGTTTCTCCATGCTCTGTCTCTGTTTTCAGTCCAGCTGCTATTTGAAAAATTACCTCACCAACCTCCGCTTTGACAATTTTTACATCACCAAGAAGCTGGAGCGTTTAGCTGTGGACAGAAAAGCAGCTCATCTGCTTGTGGGCTCATCCAAACCCCTCATTCGACCAACAGGCTTGAAGCTGTCCCGGGAAGAAGTGATGCTGTGCCTTGTGCAAGCCATGCTCCTCACCGTGGCCCTGATGCTGATCCTGGCGGTCATGGCCATGGACCACTTTGCATTCAGCATGGCAGACACTGCAGTGAGAAAGGCAGCTCAGTTCTCCATGGTGCCTGTTGCTCTCAACATCAAATACAGTGTAAGTGCCGGGGTCCCTTGCCCTTCACTGTACTGGGACCCTGCTGTGCGTCACATCATAGGAGGCAGCAATAGGGATTGCAGTCTTTGTAGCCTTATTTGCACTATACTTACTTCCCTTCCCAGCAAGCAGCTAGACTAGCAATGAAACAGGCTTGGGGGAGAGGAAGTGGAGGCATAACCTCAGTTGCTCCTTCCAGCACATCTAATAGTAGCTCCAAATTACAGCCCCTTGAGAGAAAGAAGAGGAGCAAATTGTACCTCATGCTGCAAAGGCACTGCTAGCATGTGACAGTCAGATATGTTCTTTATCTCTTATCCACCCTAGGCAAGGTGGAGGAATGGGTGACCCTACAGCACTGTTGTCCCCATGGCAGAGTGAGTGTAAGGAATGGAGAAGCAGATGAATACACATCTGGGTTGTGAGGATGTCTCCTTATCAAACTGCACTAACTGATCTTCAAAGAGACAGCCCTGTTCACTGGCTTTGTTGTCTTTTTCACAAACCTGCCCAGTTTCTATTTTAATATCCTTTAGCTGGGCTAGTTCTGCTTTAGTTTGTTAGTTTTTCTCTTCTACCATGCAGCCTGGCTCCCTCCCCGCCCCCAGGGTTTCATAGTGCAGATAGCTGCTTATGATGAATTTACAGTAAAATAATCAGGGCTTAGAAGAAAACCTCTAATATTCAAATATGCAGCCACTAATCTTGCTGTCTGGATTGTGTTTTTCGTTGTAAATCTCACACAATGAATACCTGTAACAGCAGATAGAAGTGACAGGTAGGGCTGGGTCTCACCATACCAAGTGCTTAGCATGTACACAGCATGCTGTTACTCTCCCTCAGCCTGAAGTGTATATGCATTTCAATGTCCTTCTCTTAATGCACCCAAACAACCTGTAACAGTAATTGCACACCCCCAGGCTGATGTTCTTGTAGTAATCAGTTGATTGGGGTTTGTTCATACCCCACTTAACTTTTAATTCTCTATTTCAGGCTAAAATAAGGTTTGTGCCCTTTCTGTCAAAAATTCTGGGGATTCCTTACCAAGAAACACCACTTCAGGACTTTGAGAGAAGCTACCACCATCACCTGATCTTCAGCTCTGCCCACTGCAGGATCAGTCCCCCGACACCTCCCAACCCCTCTGTGCTGCTCGCCATGGGGCTGCTCTTCTGCATCCTCTATGCCACCGTATTCCTGGAAACCTACGCGCATCGCCTGTGCAGAGCAATTGCAGCCTCCTTCTTTGAGAGCTGGGAGGAGAAGCGAGTGCTTCACCTCTACAGGAAGCTGTCCAGGAAGCATCAGGAGGAGCAAAACAAGGAGAGAAACTAAGGGTACTTTTGGGAATACAGGGGATGCCTGAGAACTGTGGCAGTGGCGGGGCACAGGCTTCTGCCATGGGATTATGCATTTAAATTCACAGAGGCAGTGTTTGGAGTCGGGGGAAAACTATTTGCCAAAAAGAAGGCAAAATGTCACATTTTGCATTAATTTCAGAAAAATGGGCTCAAAAATTCACTTTTTAATTTTAATCTAGAAGGTCTGGAGCCAGCTGTGGTGGGAGATAACTCATATGACTTTGAGGATATCTGCAGAATTAGGGAAGGCTAGCTGGGTAATATGTGGGAGTTGGGGTGAGGGGGAGCTCATTGACCTCCCCAACCACATCCATACTGGAAGAAGTACACAGTGAGAAAAGAAACTCTTTTGATTTGATTAATTTACCTTTAAGGGAACTTTTCCTTTCAGCTTTTATGCACAGATATCCGGGTACACTGGATAAATATAAGACTTTAGAAAATAGTTTATTCACCTAAGAAAGTGTCATTTCCACCCACTGAAACAAATTCAAGACCAATATGAACGTGAGGTGCACATCCTGGGCATGGGGGGTTGTGGAAATCAGCACATGAGGAGTTTATGGAATCACTTCACAATGGCTCTTTAAATGAAATATAAATAAAATAGCTGGAGAAAGTCAGAAGAGGATGAGAGCAGCCAAAAAGGCTGGTCTGGGTGTCGGTCTGTTTTCCCAAGTAAAAAGTGGCAGGATGAGAGGAAATGGCCTCAGGTTGTGCCAGGGCATGTTTAGATTGGGTATTAGAAAGAATTTTCTCACCAAAGGGGTTGTCAAGCGTTGGAACAACTGCCCAAGGAAATGGAAATGGTGGAAGCACCATCCCTGGAGGTATTTAGAAGATGTGTAGGTGTGGCACTGAGGGACATGGCTTAGTGTTGGACTTGGCAGTGCTGGGTTAACGGTTGGACTTTTCCAATCTAGAATAATTTAGGCCAGCATTATGGAAAACTTCAAAAGTGGTAGATAGAAACTTGACATTTAAGTCAGTGCTTTGCAGGGAACAGGGAAGCAGCAGGACGTGGAGAGCTGGACTTGCCTGAACCGAGATCTAGTTTTACGTGTTGGATTGTTTCAAACTCAGAAGCTGTGGTATTGTAGATGTAAAAATCCATCACTGAAACATGTTCCTTTTGAATGAGAGGCAGAACGGACACCTCTGTAAGGGCAAGAGCCAGAGTAAGGGGAGATACATCAATGCCAGCTTAAAAACAAAGGAGCTTCACAGCTTCATTTCTTCAAAGCATCCCTATTATTTTCCTCTCTTCTCCCATTATGGTCTTCATTAAGGTAATTATTTGATATAATGCATCTCAATGAGACTAAATTACAGAAGTGATGTGGCAGCTGCAGCCACATGCACCAAATTCTCTCAGCCTCTGAGGTACTTGAAACAAAGTAGGTCTGGATTGTATATATATATATATATATATATGTACATATACACACATTTAAGTCATCCCTCTAACAGAACCCTGGTACATTCATCTCCCCAGGTTTCTTAATTCCCATTCTGATGATTAATCCAAGCACCTTTCTGCTGCTACAGCAACTAGTGGGTTTTGTCATGGGGTTTCTCTAGACAGTGCTTTGTGCTTTTCTGTTTGGGGGAAGGAGAAGGATTTCCATGTGACCACTGAGTAGCCAAAATTGTCTGGATCCAGGGGTTAAAATAGCTGGGAGGAGAGCAGAGGAACCCCTTCAGCCAGCAAACCATCCCAGCTGCTTGTTGCCTTCCAACAACCACATCTTTAAAAGAAGCTTTTCCTTTTAAAGCATTATCTTTTTGGCAAGACATTTGCACTAAGCTCTAAGAGAGAGATTTTTTCATGGCTATCAGCATTTTGGGAACCCCCTCCCCACCCAAGGCATGTGTAGATCCTCTCCCTACCTTCTGAGAGAGGTCTTCAGAGGAGACTGGAGCATGGGGACAGGAGGCTGAAAGAGTGAAGTGCTGCGGATAAACATGGGGATGGGTTTTGTTTTAGAGATGGGCCCTCTGGGTTCAAATGGGTGCTTGGAGTGGATGAGATGGATGAAGATGACAAAGTACCAGCCTGAGTGTCCCATTGCATCCTTTGCACAGGCACTGCCCAGCTCCCAGCCAGGGCAGCTGAGCAGTGTGTGAGGCAGCTTCTGAAACACCCATTTTCAGCCTCAAAAATCATATTTATCAGGGAAAACTGACCCTCATCCAGAGCATTTCTCCCTGTCTTCTCTAGAGTTTCCTTCAGCTCCCACTAAATTTTAACTGCTAAAGACTAACCCTGGGAACTTTGCACTTCTAGAGTAAAATTCAGCATCAGGCAAGCCTTGATTAGTGTAATTACATCTGCTTATAAGGATAATGATCAGTGCGAGGTGCTGCCACTCTGCCTCTGGCCCCAGATTTGCAGCCTTCATAACCCGTCACGAGGCAGAGATGTGCTCCCATTTTCATTTTGCAGAAGAGACCAAGAATGAGATTTATAAAGTTCTTGGGTGGGTATCACACCAGTTTCATTGACAGGGAGCTACGGGCAGAGAGCCCTTGTTGCCTGCAGCTAGGGGTCAGTTCTCCTGCCATAGGAGGCAATGGATTGTGCCCCAGGTGCCCCCTGTTTCCTCAGCTTTGTGACCCTAATGTAGGGGGTTTAGCTTTGAAAGCTGTATAGAAATCAGCAAAGGAAGAATTTGGGTTTGGAAGATGAACACTTTGTGAAGTGCTGGTGAGGAGGTGAGTAGCTGAAAAAATTACCTTTCGTCATGGTCATGCTGAGGTTTGTCACTTAGAAAGGAGGGTAATAAACATTGTGAGGTGTTGCACTGTGCTGTGAAGTGTCATCTCCCTACTGCCAGAAGGAAAAAGCCACTTTGATATCTACTATGGTTATTTCAGAGGTGAAGTTGCACTGATGTTAGGATGTGTGCATGCTGAAGGCTGATAAACTTGAATAGCACTGGGAAATCAATGCCTGTGAAAAGGTGTTACCACAACAGTACTGTTGCTTGAGTTGATGTCATTGAATACACGTATGTATCATACAGTTAAGTGATTAATCTGCTTTGAGGAGAAAGGAGATGTTGGAAGCTGTCTCTTTACCACTATGCCACTTAACCCAGAGCCCAGATTTTCATGTGAGAAACTAAACACGGGGAACTGTCACAAATGTGACACTTCAGTGGGAGACCCGTGGAAGAAGAGCTCTGAGTGGTTTCCAGCCTGAGGTACCAGTGAGGAGAGCCATGGGAAAACCACAGGTATGGAGCTAAACCTGAAGAAGTGTGCGGCAGAGATGAGACCCAGGGCAGCCTGTGTGGGGTGAGCAGAGGGGACCTGCCAGCACAGCGGGAAGGAGCCCGATCCCTGCAGTAACTTGCTTTTTCACCTCCCTGGTGGGTGTCAGCAGGAACAGAAGTGGGAAGGGAGGCCCTGAGGAGCGGAGGATGCACTGATGGTCCCTGCTTGTGCAGGAACAGCTTGTGCAGCACATCAGCTATGCTGTCCCTGGTGTCGAATTGGGCTGTGATGTTTTCCCTGGCCAGGGGAGCTGGTAGGAAGCAGCACTGCTGGAAATTGCTTTGTTCTCCTGAAAGGTGTTGTTCCTCAGCAAGATAAAGGTAGGACAAATAGAAAATGTTACCCATTACAGAGTCGTTTTATGCGCTTGAGAGGTAAGCTGCCTTGCCAGAGTTTGCTTAATGATGCAAAAGAGAAATGCTGAAGAGATTTAACCAGCAGACAAAGTTAATTTGTTCACATATTTATATTAAGTACAACTAATTTAAAAGCCTTGTTATTTGCTAAGGGATTTTTCATCCCTCAGAGCCCCTCCATACTCCCACCCTCACCGCTGCTCATCACGGCTCTCATTGCCTTCACTTTGGCTCAGCACCGTGCTCCGTCTCGCAGGCAGGAGGAAGTGGGGAGTGAGGCTTTGCCCTGTGTCGCAAGCCTTGGTGCTGGGTCTGGAGCCCATGGGGCAAGTCCTGCCTGTCCACCTCCTCCGGGAAATCCCAGCTGGGGTGATCCATGGCTTAGATCCGAGGTTTTTCTTCGAAGTGGGTTGAGAAACTGAAATGGCCAAGTTGAGAGGCTGAAAACTTCCTCTTGTGTTAGCTGGAAATATGCCGTTGGTGTTAAGATAATATAATGGGAACTCTGTGAGCTACAGGAAGGAGCAGGTCACAGCCCAGGGCTTGGCTGTGCTGAATCACCTTTTCCTTTTACCAGAGGAAAGAAAACACGGCTCCCTGTGCCCGATGCTGCATGCTCTGCAATACCAGGGCCCCAGCTCAGGTGAGCTCCTGGATATTTGCGTTGGTGCTGAGTAAGGACTCGGAACATTTTGCCACCCCTGTGGGGGACAAACTGTCATTGCCTGGGCATTTCTGTTGGGAAAGGTGAAGGGCACACTGTTTGGTGTGACCCCAGTCATGGCATGACACCCTGGACCTGGACACCAAGCGAGGGCAGCCTCATGTCTCCTGATGCATGTTGTGGCTCTGTGCACTGGTGGAAGGGGAGCAGGAGCAGAGCTAAAGACTGTTGCACCTCTCCCAGGGCTGTGCTCATCATCGGCGGGGTGCTGTACCAAGTGCCTGTTGTTACAGCATTACGAGGTTGACATTTAGATGTCACAGAATATGAAATAACCTGTAATTGCAGCCTAATTATTCTGCCAGGGTTTTGTTCTTTCACATTATTGCATGCAGTGCTTTTGTCTCCCCTCAGTGTTATCACTGCTATTATCCCCCCAGGATACCCCCTCCCCTCAGCACATAATCCACCTTCATCACTGGCTTTGGGAACTGCGTGTTTCTGTCCTTAACCCAGGCTTATGCTACCCTGTGTGCTGTCTTTGGAATGAGAACTTGGATGGGTGGTTCAGGTTAGATGTGATGCCAATGGTGCCCAAGCCAGAAGATGCATCATTTTTCACATCCATCACAGCATCGAGCTTTGCTGGGATGGCAAAGTCTCAGCTTTGGTTACGCAAACCAGTTTCCTCTTACAGCCATTGGTTTCTGCTCTGGGTGGGAGACACAGGAAAGACCAGGGCTCTCAGGGCTTCCGCTTGGTTGTCCTGCCCTGAAAGCCAATGCCTCCACCTGCTCCTCTGACTTCTGGCTTGCATAGGCAGAATTCCTGGTGGATTGGGCTCACTGGAGCAGGCACCAGAGCTTATTGTCAGCAGTGAGAGTTGTGAACCCTGACTCAATACTGTGGGCAATGTCTTGAGGCCTGGAGGGGCCATGGGGTATTCAGGTGATGCCATGGGTGCTGGGCTTGGCTGGAGGGGATGAAGCACTTTGGGCTTCTTCTCCCACGGCTGAATCACTTCCAGGCTCCCACAGCCAACCCAGAGTCAGGGAAGGGAATTCTTTGGCACACAGGATGACAATGTTTGTTTTCACAGGGTTTGGTGCTTGCCTGGCTTTGCTCAAACCAAACACCTGCAGCAATGGGGGCTTAAAAGTGAGGGGAAAGTGGTGCCTCAAAAGCTGCACATAGCATCCTTCCCTATGCTGTTATTCTCTGCAGAGCTGCATAAATCCCCAGCAGTTTGGTTCATTGCATTAAATGAATCCAATGCATGTTACTGCAGAATGATTTTCTGTTACTATTCTGGCTGCGTATTTGAGAGCTCAACGCTTCCAGGAGCTACTGGAACAAAGTCTGAAGGGTGTACCTGTTAAAATGTTAATAGGGGAAGTCCACAAATAAGGTATACTCAAATGACGACTTAACTTGGGATGCTCCTGCCTGTACAAGGCTGGATGTGGGGGACTGAGCTAGCAGCACAGGGAAGCAAACATCCACCACACTTACTTACAGCTCCAAAGAAAAGCAGCCAAATTCCTCCCTTTTTATTAATTCCTCCCTTTTTATTAACAATGTAGCCCTATGACTCAGGGCTGATGCCCTCACACTCTCTGGCATCAGTGAACAGCTGCTGCATCGGTCCATCTGTGCAGTACTTTGATTATTAGATATGTGAAGCCTCAGAGGTATCTCCTTTACATAGGACTAAATGAGCTGCCCAGCAATGCAGAGTGAGAGGGATGAGCTGCAAGAGGAGCACAGGGAGATACTGAAGATGGCATTGAATTCACTGTCACCCAGCCTAGGTACAGTGCTGCTAACCCAGCACAGAGACGCACAGCCACCCCCTCCCAAAAAGTGTGTGATGGATGTCATCAGAGCAGTCCTTACATGGAGGTAGGTGATGGGTATGCCTGTAACAGGCTGGAACATCTGTGCCTGTGAGCACTCAGCTGGCCAGCTCCTGGTGAGAGGCTGCAGGATGACAGAGAGAGAGAAGCAGGGGAATTTGGGCTGTCGGGATGACTAAAGGGGTTGATGCCTGGCTCCTGAAGTGGTGACTGCCAGCTCAAGTAGGTGAAGGCAGCCTAAATAGTACCATTAAACAGATGTTATTTCTTGAAGGATTTTAAAGTGAAAAACAGGGGAAAGTTAGAGCAAAGTGCAGCCTAGAGGGGACTCCAAGTGCAGGGATGGGACCTGTTGTGCATCCCCAGCCCAGGGCTGTAGGGCAGAGCTGTGAGGCTGGCCCTGGTGCAGGCTGCCACTGCAGCCCTATGGAAAGAGAAGAGAATATTGTCCTTTATAACTGACCCAAAGGTGAGTGAAATGTCATGGTAGGGAGTCAAAAACTACAAGGGTTGTCCTCCGTGGAGCTAAATAGAGGCATAAAGTTTCCCAGAGAAAAGGGGAAAGTGTCTGCCACAGCCTGGGGACAAGCTGCTGCTCCCTGGGCCGTGGCAAAAGCCATTTTATCCACCCAGGTTTGTACAGCCCAGGCTGAGGAATTCACCGGTGAAAGGCTGGACTTGAACGACTCAGCATCAGGAGGATCCTTCACATCTTGGATATGCGCCTCAGTGTCTGGGATTAATGGGACACTTCTGCCTCTAGCTGAAATCTAATCTAATGAAAAGACAAGTTTTTCCCTTGTCCTTTCCTCCACTCCACAGGTTAGAGGTTCCTTAGCATTTTATGTCTGCAAACACAATTGCTCTTTCAATTTAAAAATGCTTTTTCTGACAGACTGGAGATGATGGGCAAGCATGGAGCTGGCAGCAAGTTCTGGCTACTGCTGAACATTAGGAAAAGTACTGGATCTCCCAGACTGACCATCACTGGATCTCCTAGACTGACCATGCTATCCCAGCCTCATTGCTGGTAAGATAAGGGATCTCTCAGCCCAGACTGGGTAAGCCTTTCCCCAAAGAAGTGACACTGATGCGTGTCTGTGACAGGGGTGGCTGCAGGGAAGACGGCATGAGGAGGGCGCTGCCTCATGTGTATTGTCCCCCAGAAAAGGTAATTGTCCTGGGTAACTGTCCTCTGCCCCAGCCCAAGGGAAACAGGAACGACCATGGGTCTCCGTGGCATCACCTGGTCTCATCCTCCTGCGGATGAGGAAGGATGGACCCCTCATCTTTATCTCTCCTTGCCAGGGAGGAACTGTGCAGCCTGTGGCTCAGCTGGGGACACAAGGCACCCACAGTCCTTGGTGCTCTCAGCCCCTGCGGCTCTCTCAGCCCGCTACCCCCGGCTCCTGCCTGGGCTCCTTCCTCCACCTCTTCAGCTCAGGGATGCGCTAGGACCCTGCGGGAGCAGGCGGGTGCTGCAGGCGGGAGGCGGATGGGGGGTCTCGGGATCTGGGGGGTTCTGAGCGGTCCCTGGTGGTGCCTGCGGCTGGGAGGTCCTGGACACCCCGGGGGTCCCGGGGATTGGGGAGGTCCTGTTCGCTCCCCGCCCCTCCCGGCCGAGGGGGGGGGGGGTGTCTGCAGGAGAGGGGGTGCAAGGAACCGGGCGGCTGCGAGACTTGGGGTGAATCGTAGGATAAAAGGGAGGGAGGAGCCTGGGCGGGCACCAAGACCGGGAGGGGCGGGGGGGGCAGCGGCTCCCATCCCGGTCCCTGCCGCAGGTTGCGCTGAGCTCCGCCAGGGAAGACTTTGGGAGCTGATGGAGAACGGCTCAGCCAGCCCAGGAGCCGCACTGGGCGGCAGCGGCAATGAGACGCTGGGCAGGATGCCCCGGCAGCCCCTGGAGCTGCAGGTGGTCACCATCCTGCTGGTGCTGATCATCTGCGGGGTGGGCATCACAGGCAACGTGATGGTGGTGCTGGTGGTGCTGCGAACCAAGGACATGGTGACCCCCACCAACTGCTACCTGGTGAGCCTGGCGGTGGCCGACCTCATCGTGCTGCTGGCAGCTGGGCTGCCCAACATTTCGGAAGTGGTGGCTTCTTGGGTGTACGGTTACGCCGGCTGCCTCTGCATCACCTATTTACAGTACTTGGGCATCAACATCTCTGCCTGGTCCATCACCGCCTTCACGGTTGAGCGTTACATCGCAATCTGCCATGCCATCAAAGCGCAGCTCCTGTGCACCGTGTCCCGTGCCAAACGCATCATCTCCTCGCTGTGGCTCTTCACCTCTGCCTATTGCCTCATGTGGTTCTTCCTGGTGGACACAACCCAGGTCACCTTCTCAGATGGGGCACAAGTCAGCTGTGGCTATCGGGTCTCCAGGAGCCTTTACATGCCCATTTACTTCTTGGATTTTGCTGTCTTCTACATCATCCCACTGGGGCTGGCAACTGTCCTCTACAGCCTCATTGCCCGCATCCTCTTCATGAGCCCCCTGCCCACCAGCCTGCAGCACTCCTGCCCAGGCTCCATGCATGTGGGCAGCTCCCTCAAGCCCTCCTGCTGGGGCAACAGGGGGCCTCTGAGCTCCCGCAAGCAGGTAGGTGCTCCCTGCTGGGCTGGGGCACACTGGGCTGCATGGGGCTCAGTGCTTTGAGCAGCATTCTGGCAGGGAATGGGGTGTCCCGATGTTTTGTTTCCCTTTGTGGGGAAAGTGGGGAGGATTGGTTTGTTGCACAGAAGCATCCCCAAACCCAGCTGGGGTCTGGCAGCACAGATGGGCTCCCTTTGCTTTGGCTGGGCTTGGAGGTAGGACAGGGCTCCAGCATCACTTAGGAGAGGCAGGAGTGCAGGAATGTTTGCTGGCTAATCAATTGCTGATTGCCTCCCCAGGGAGGGGAGTGATGGGTCACATTATGCCAGTGGGACTTACCTGTTAGACAGAGTCCTGGGCAGGCAACCTCAGATTTAGAGGGCAAAGGGAAGGAAGAGCTGACACAAGCCCAGGCCTGGTTGGGGAAGGCACCTTGGTGTCACAGTGGTGTGTTTGCCTCTCAGTGACTCCTCTGTCATTCAGCTGTCAGCTCACCCACCACTTCCTTCTCTTTTCACCTCCTTCTGCCCTTGTTCTTCCTCTGCCCTCGTCTCTCCTCTTTCTCTGTCCACATGGACAGAGACTTGCCCCGTCTCTTTTGGACAGGTCCGTGTCTAGACATGGGACACTCTTGCCTGCTAGCTGGCTGCTTGGAGAAGGCCATCCCATTCTAGTTTCAGACTCTGAGTAGGCAGAAACATAGTTCATTTTAAGGGAAAGGACTAAATCTGGGAATCTGGCTTGAATTCTTGAAATCATCAGTTCTGTTGTGATTTCCAGACTGCCTGAAACAGGCTTCAGCCTGTCCTAAAGTCCTCATGTATCCAACTCAGTATCTCATTGCCTGACTTGTACAGGAACCTCCCTTCTCCAGGAGAAAAGATTCAGAGTCATGGAGAGGAAGCAAGCAGCCCAGAGAACTTGTATTTCTTCATAAACTTGTAACTCTTTCCAGTTCAGCTTTTTCTCCTTTTGCTCCAGCACGGAAAGGTTTAAAGCAAGTCCTGACTTCTGCAAAAGCATTTGCAGAATACTATAGGGGTGCTGTCTGCTGCGGGAGCCTCAGGCAGGGTGTTTGGCAGTGAGGTCTCTGGATGCTACAAGGCAGTACCTATAGGCACGGGTGGATGGACCTCTCCTTCCAGAGCAGCTACTGCTATGGCTCCATCACTGGTGCCTCTAAAACTCAGAACTCCTGAGCAGGACAATGCAAAGTGTGAGTTTTGCTGTATTTATCACCTGTAGGAGAAAGGGTCCCAGACTCAAACCCAGCCACCTCCAAGCACGTATTTCACCTGCCAGAGAGGGACCACTAGAGGGAGCGGGATTCCTAATAAAAAGGATGCTGCGGCTCGGGTTGATGGTGCTTGGACTAGGAAAGGTGACACTGGCTGGGGAGGAGTGTCTGTGGCCTCCTGGACAGGGGAAAGACTGGATACTGCGCTGGGAGAGGGGATGGGTTGGAAGGGCTGTGCGGGGATGCAAGATGCTGATCCTCTTGTATGGAGTGAGAAGGATGCTCACAGTGGGTTTGCTCTAGCAGTTACACTGGGCTTGGCCTGTGGAGGTGGAAGGTGAGCTGTCCTGTAGCTTTGGCATAGGGACCCAGGATATGTTTGGGGGTCTGTGCACCAGATACCCTTGGCCATCCAGCAACAACACTGGTTTATGTGTTCAAAAATGGTTTTCAGCTAAATATCAACTGTTCTAGTAAAAGAAATCCTCTTACTACAAACTCTTGTCTTGCTTCTACCCACAGCCCCTTTACAGCTGTTGTGTGCACACTATGTACAACAGAATTGTTGTAAAACACTTGTCAGAAAGACTGCTGTCCCTGAGATGGTGCTCCCCTGAGGGATGCTTTGAGGCTACAGCAAAGCTCTGGCTTTTGGGGGCCAAAGCTGGTTTTAGGGGGCCATCATTCAGGACTACTCCAGTTAAGGATGAATGTCCCAAACTCTTTTGATTGATGATTAGGTTCATTTTGCATGTGAACACCGGAAGTAAGGTCAGAGCACCTCAAATGCACTATAGTTACTTGCCTCAGCAATGTAGGCTGAGGAAAGACACAGGGGCAGGTTTTGGCCACGGATGCAGACAACGCTGGAGATTTCTTTCCCCACAGTGGATGTATGGGAGTGAGTCTGGAATAGACTGCTAGGTTTTATCCAGAGGAGACATCCTGTGTCAACACAGCTTTGTGAAGTTGCATCCAGGAGAGCATGGTCCATATGAATGGTTGGCTTGAAAAGGCAAATTTCAATCCTACAGCAAGCTCAGGGCAGGGTTGCCTGTTCCAGCCTGTGGGCTGCACGCAGCATCCTCAGGGAGCACTGAAGGCATTTAGTGAGATGGAGGTAATAAGTCCTCATGGTGCTCTTTCCAGACGGTTTTCCCTCCCAAGATAAAGGCAGCTTTTTCATTGGGCTGCAGATTGTGTAGCAGGAAACACTCTTTAGATGACAGCACTTTGTGGTCATCTATGGCATGGAGGAAGGTGTTGGGAGCTTGCTTGAGTGGGAGCTGTGTGAGCTGGCATTTGCATAACCACCAGCCAAAAAGCAGGGCAGTTATGGCTAAAAAGCAGATGAATCACTGGTTCTTTTCCAGACATTTCTCTTGATCTCAGAAGGGACTGGAATGAACTTACTTTTCAGCCTTATTAGGATACACTCCCCCTGGTATTGTCATTTGAATGCAGAGTTCACATCACTCTTCACAAACAAGGCAGAGTTACAACAGCCCAAAAGCCAAAGATGTTTCAGTCTAGGAGGCAGCACATGAACATTATTGATGTGTTAGCTTTAAAGGAGAATCTCAGCCATACAGAAACCTGCCAGAGAGCAGAGCTAGGGGTATAAAAGCTCAGGGAACATGGATCCCATCCATAAGCACTGCTCATGTGGCATATGCTGGTGAAGCAAAATCTGTTCCTTCCTGGGCTGAGTTGGTATCAGGAGCTCTCTGTTCCCAGGTCTTGCAATGCAGACCACAGCAGACATGGTGCAGTCTTAGCAAAAGCCTCAGCACTCACTGTATCACTGCAAGATCTTCTTCTGGGTAGTGCCCTCACATTCCTATTAAGCCACACGCAGCAAAACTCTTCTATTTTGGCCTCAGCTTGATAACAGTCCCTTTCGTGTAGGGGAAGTTTTGTTGCCATTACCAACCACCCCTGATTTCTGCTCACAGCATTAAAGGAAGGCATAGTTGCTTGTGATGAAGTAAAAAAAAAGGCAGTCCAAGAAAATCTGAGAGACTGTGAATGTGATCTAACTGCTTATTTCCATATCAAGAACTATAGTTATTGCACAACTCCCCCTCTGAGTCTTGAAACGCCACTGCCTTAATATGCTTGCAGCATCAGTGTTTACTCATACTTTCCTCCTTGGGGACATGTGTATTCTATAAGTATTTGTTGGAGGATGGGTGTCACCTGGCAGAAATAGCTGTTGAAATTATTAGGATCACTGGAGTTTCTGCACAAAACCCCATATTCTTAAACCAGGTTGACTTGATCCAAGGGCAATTACGGCTCACTTCTAAATTATCAGTGTATTCTTATATGTTAATGTAGTATTTCCCTAGTGTGCTGCAAATTAAAATAACCCACACCAATTAGCTAAGTAACTTCCATACCAGCACAAGTAGGAATCTGTCTAAGATTCCAGACAGTCTCCTCTGTTCCCAGTGCTACTCTGCACTAGAAGTTTGTTACCTGGAACAGTAGGAAACCAGGAGATCCTGGGCAGGGAGTTGAGATATCTCGAATGGCACCCCAAAACTTAGGTCCCCACTTTTTGGACAAGTTTCCACCCAAAACTAGGACATTTCCGCCGTTGATTTATTGTTATGTACAATTTTCAGGTTTTCTTTCTGGTCTAGAAATTCCCATTATTAACCCCTAATGGGGGGTAATACATTACAGCCCATCGAAACCCATTTCAGGCTGGTGGATACTTGTCCTAAAGAGCTGTAAAGGCTCTTCAATGGCAGATGAAAACCTATAGTTTAAGAGGTTTATTTATGCAAGACTTTTTCATGGACAGAATGGATTTACAGAGGAATAGCCTAATGGTTCAGATGCTTATTTAAAGTGCTTAAAGAGAGATGCAAGTAATGTGTAGGCTGAATTAGCTGTCTGCACCATTTCTCCGGGTGGCAAAGCTCTGCTGAAGATTTAGCACCATCTGACTATTTCTCTTTTTGTACATCCCCATCATCAAGGTGACCAAGATGCTGGCTGTCGTGGTGGTCCTCTTTGCCCTTCTGTGGATGCCTTATCGCACACTAGTGGTGGTGAACTCCTTCACAGACCCTCCGTACCTGAACATCTGGTTACTTCTCTTCTGCCGCCTGTGCATCTACCTGAACAGTGCGATCAACCCCATCATCTACAACCTCATGTCACAGAAGTTCAGGGCTGCCTTTAGGAAGTTATGCAAGTGTGAAGCAAAGAGTGCTGAGAACCCTGTGCCATACCCCACACCCGTGTACTACAGTGTTACAAAGGACCATTCCCATGATAGCTCCGATCACAGCGCTAAACAAGAAGATCTGAGCATTCTCCCTGCACCTGCAAAGGAGAACAAACCTGACAAATAAATCCTGGGACCCTTAAACAGTGCAGGCAGTGGGAGCTCTGCAGCTGTATGAATTGTGTTGGGAAAGTGCAGACAGAAACAGCTTTGGCATTGCAGAAAGCTTAATTTAATACCTCTCTATGGGGCATTTGACAAAACAGATTCTTAGAGGCAAACTAATCTGTTATTTCTTAACACTAATCTATTCTTGCTTGGTGAAGTGTTAGGCATAGGTTAATGTTTAGCATCTTTATGTATTTGGAGTTAAGTATAGCAGTGCAACAGCATTCTGTGTTAAGTGCAAGCGCAATTGTTTGAGTTGGGCTAGAGTATTGAAAGGAAATAGAATAACAGAATCATAGAATAGTTAGGGTTGGAAAGGACCTCGCTTGCAGGGTCCCACATGACAGCAGACAACATCCCTGTATTCTTCCCAGGCTGCCTGTCCTCGCTTCCACTTTTTATAAGCCTCTTTTTTCCTTCTAATTTTCCTCAGCAGCTCTTTATCCACCCAAGGAGGTCTCCTGGCCCTCCTGCTGCACTTCCTTCTAGTTGGGATGCAACACTCCTGAGCTTGCAGTAGGTGATCCTTGAATATCAGCCAACATTCTTGGGCCCCCCTGCCCTCTAGGGCAATATCCCATGGAACCTTCCTAAGCAGGGTCCTGAAGAGGCCAAAGTCTGCTCTCTTGAAGCCCAGGGCAGTGAGCTTGCTGCGTGCTCTTGGCACTGTCCTGAGGCTCTTGAATTCGACCATCTCATGATGGCTGCAACCAAGGCTGCCCTGGAGCATCATATTTCCTGATGAGCACGAGGTCAAGTATGGCACCTCACCTTCTCGGCTCCTCTATTACTTGCAGAAGGAAAGTTGTCTTCCACACAATCGAGGCACCTCTGGGATTGCTTGTGCCAGGCCGTACCCTCCCTCCAACAGATGTCAGGGTGGTTGAAGTCCCCCATGAGAACAAGGACCGGTGAGCTTGAGGTTGTTCCTATCTACCTATAGAGTGCTTCATCCACAGAGTCCTCTTGATGAGGAGGTCTGTAACAGATCCCCACAGTAGGACTCTGTGGGACACAGTAGGACACTTTGGTGCTTAAATCATCAATAAAATGGGTGAAGCCTGTGCTGGCCACCTCCAGATGTGCCAGGACCGCCTCCTGTGCTCCTTCCCTGTCCCACAAGCAGTCAGTGATCGACCTGAGCAGTGCTCCTGTGCTGCAGTTGGGATGCGTCCATGGGGTTGGGATTCAGCCCTGCTCAGCCGCGTCCTCCAGGCGTGCCCATCTCGGGTGAGCCCGTGCCAGAACCTGCGCCCTACGCACAGCGAAGGCTGCGAGGGCAGCACAAGATGTGGTGCCAGCAGTGTGTGTCCAGGCCTGCCTGCTTCAGGAGGGCCCTGCTACAGCTCCGCACCTTGAACTCTCATGTCCCCATCTGCACTTGCTTCTTTACCCACGTCCTCCTTCATCCTCGGTTCATGCCGAGCTCCACGCAGGCACTTGCTGACTTGGGAACATGGCCATTCTTTGCTAAAAATCTATCCACAAGACATCAATTTGATAGGTGGACCACTCGGCGCATGAAGAACTGGCTGGGTGGCCACACACTACTCTGGATGGCCCCTCTGCTCTGCTCTCTGCTGAGCTATACTGCAGAGCTCTCCTGAGGAGAGCTACAGCTGCTGCTCTGAGGAGAGCAGCATTTGTCAGAGCAAAGCGGTGCTGGAACGTTGCCTGTTTGAACGGGACCTCTGCAAACACACTCCAAGTCTGTTCAGAGAGGAGACCCTGCTTATTCCTCCAGGAGGCGCTGCTTATGTCCTACACCTGGGTCGGAGCAATCCCAGGCACAGCTACAGCTTGAGCAGAGAAGAGATTGAGAGCAGCCCTGCGCAGAAGGACTTGGGGGTACTGGTGGATGAGAAAATGAACATGAGCCGGCTTCAGTGTGCACTCGCAGCCCAGAAAGCAACTGTATCCTGGGCTGCATCAAAAGGAGCGTGACCAGCACGTCGAAGGAGGTGATCCTGCCCCTCTGCTCTGTTCTTGTGAGACCTCACCTGGAGCATTGTGTGCAGTTCTGGTGTCCTCAAGAGAAAACGGACATGGAACTGTTGGAACCAGTCCAGAGAAGGGCCACAAGGATGATCAGGGGACTGGAGCACCTCCCTTATGAAGCTAGGGTGAGAAAGTTGGGGCTGTTCAGGCTGGAGAAGAGAAGGCTGCGTGGAGACCTCAGAGCAGCCTTCCAGTATCTGAAGGGGGGCTCTAGGGTTGCTGGAGAGGGACTCTTCACTAGGGACTATAGTGCTAGGACAAAGGGTAACGGGTTCAAACTTAAACGGGAAGTTTAGATTGGATATAAGGAAGAAATTCTTTACTGTGAGGGTGGTGAGGCCCTGGAATGGGTTGCCCAGGGATGCTGTGAATGCTCCATCCCTGGCGGTGTTCAAGGCCAGGTTGGACGGAGCCTTGGGTGGCAGGGTTTAGTGTGAGGTGTCCCTGCCCATGGCAGGGGGTTGGAACTGAAGGATGGTAAGGTCCTTTCCAACCCTAACTCTTCTAGGATTCTATTCTATGATTCTAACTTGCACGTCCCCGTCTGCACGCACACCTCATGCACGCAGCAGCTCCCCCTGCACCCAGCTGCCACTCTCCTGCTGGCCGCTCCCCCTTCCTGCCGGCTTGCAGGGTCCCACATGACAGCACTGGCAGGTGACCATGGCTCCAGCTGCAGCCGCCAACACCTGGTATCCCAAAGCAGCTCCAGCCACAGACCCTCTTCCCAGCGTGCGGGATGGGGACCGAGGGACTCAGTGGGAGAAAGGGACGGAAGGGGGAAAAGGCTTGGTTTGGGCAGCAGCAGCATCCAAGAGGATGCCGGGCGCAGGCTGCTCCCCGCAGTGACGCGAGCCTGGGCACGCCGTGATTCTGGGGTTCCATGACTGATGCCTTGTACGTGGCCGTGTTTCCCCCAGCTTGAGGAGCAGCCCGAGAAGCTTTGGTCAGCGCTGGCCCGGGCTGTGCCCGATGGCAGCACCAGACCAGGTGCCCTGCAGCCACCAAGTAGTCGGTGTGAGCACCCTCACCTCTGGTGCCTGGCCCGTGCCCATCCCTGCCCACAGCTGCAGAGAGCCTGAAAGAGCCGCTCTGCCAGGGCAGGGAGCCCACGTGAGGACACTTGGGGTGCCCCAGCACCCAGCACCAGCCCCCATGGCCCCTCCAGCCCTGGGAGCTCAGAGCAACTGGAAACCACTTGTCTGCCAAAGCCACGTGTGATCGCAGTGAATACAAAGAGAGACTGGGTCAGGAGAACGTCAAGAAATGTATTTACAAAACAACAAAAAATAAACAAAATAAACGACAAAGAACAACCGTTCTTCTCACAAATGCAACTCTTCTACCTAAAACTACACCTATTCTACCTAAAAGAACAACGCTTATTCCTAAAACTACACCTATTCTACCTAAAAGAACAATGCTTATTCCTAAACCTACACCTATTCTACCTAAAAGAACAATGCTTATTCCTAAACCTACACCTATTCTACCTAAAAGAACAATGCTTATTCCTAAACCTACACCTATTCTACCTAAAAGAACAATGCTTATTCCTAAACCTACACCTATTCTACCTAAACCTACAAGTCCTATGTGAAAAACGAACAATCTTCTTAAAACAGCAACAATCTTGAACGAAAATTGGAACTCTTCTACGGAAAACATCCAACAGCGTGAAAACTTCCCTGTCGACCAGCCCTGGAAACAGGCAGCACAAGGTCATTTCAGTGAGGCTACTGATGGTCATTGTGTTTGCCACACACTGAGGAGAGCGGGACTCTGCTGCAGGGCTCAGCCCTGACTGGGGCTGGGAGCCGGGCTCTACGCGATCACACTGGGCTCGCGCGTCCCAGAGGCAGCGCAGGGCAGCGCGGTGGTGGCGCTTGTGCCGCCGGGATGAGGCCACCGGGCACCACGTCCCTGCAGCGGGGCCGTCGCACACAGCCCCAGCCCCAGCGCAGCAGCAGCCGACCCACCCTGACTGCCAGCAGTGGATGGGGGGCACATGCTGCCTTACCACTCACTCATCAGCTGGTATCCATCGCCTCCTCCACATCCACCTCCATCGGCTCGTCCACCTCCATTGGCTCCTCCTGCTCAACCGTGTTGAACAACCTTGATGTCTACATCCATGGGCTGCTCGCCCAGCCTCACTTGGCTCTGCATTTTCTGCCTCGGATACAGTGCCCGAGGGGCAGGGAACAGGGCAGTAGGAACGAGAAGGAACGAAAAGGGCTGGGAGTAGGGCAGGAGGGCAGAGCAGGAACAGGGCAGATGGGATGGAGCACGCAGGTGGGAGCGAGGCAAAAGTGTGGGCTCAGGGGTGAAGGTGTGTGCTGTTGCCTGGGCACGGGCGGTTGCCGCTGTAACGCCGGCTGTGACATCACCCCAGAGTTCCAGAACTGCTGTGAGCAGGGGATGGGGACGAGCCCTGAAGGGGCTGCAGCTTCACAGGGGACACTGGGCAATCGTTACGTGACCTCCTGAGACCACAGAGACACACTTTAGAGGATCCTAGAATAGTTCGGGTTGGAAAGGACCTTACCATCCTCCACTTCCAACCACCCTGCCATGGGCAGGAACACCTCCTACTAAACCCTGCCACCCAAGGCTCTGTCCAACCTGGCCTTGAACACCGCCAGGGATGGAGCATTCACAACTTCCTTGGGCAACCCATTCCAGGGCCTCACCACCCTCACAGTAAAGAACGTCCTCCTTATATGCAATCTAAACTTCCTCTGTTTTAGTTTGAACCCGTTACTCCTTGTCCTAGCACTATAGTCCCTAATGAAGAGTCCCTCTCCAGCAGCCCTAGAGCCCCCCTTCAGATACTGGAAGGCTGCTCTGAGGTCTCCACGCAGCCTTCTCTTCTCCAGCCTGAACAGCCCCAACTTTCTCAGCCTAGCTTCATATGGGAGGTGCTCCAGCCCCTGATCATCCTCGTGGCCTCCTCTGGACTTGTTCCAACAGTTCCATGTCCTTTTTCTCTTGAGGACACCAGAACTGCACACAATGCTCCAGGTGAGGTCTCACGAGAGCAGAGTAGAGAGGCAGGATCACCTCCTTCGACGTGCTGGTCATGCTCCTTTTGATGCAGCCCAGGATACGGTT